TGTGTGTGTGTGTGTGTGTGTGTGTGTGTGTGTGTGTGTGTGTGTGTTCAAACATGATGATTAACAACAAGAACTGTGTAGCTGCTTGTCCAAGTTTCACCTCAAAGTCCAAAGTTGTGTATTGTTTGGGAATCAAATATGAATTTCACTCGGTGATACTCAAGTAATTTTGTAATTACAAAACATTATTTTATTATTAGTTGATATTTCTGTCTGTCTTCATTAAAATAAATGTGTCTTAAAAATTAGAGACATTTTTTTTTTCTTCAGTTTTAGAGTTGATTTCTTTGTAAATTAGAAAACTTGCCTCATCAGGTGGGGTCTGTTTATTTTTGGTCAAAGTTCATGGATGGTTTTAACTGCTATGGCTGAGAATGTTAACTGCCCATGAACCATATGTTTGAGTTAGCAGAGAGAGCTGGATGAGGAGCTGAGTTGAAGCTACAGTGCAGCTGTTGATTCAAGGTTGAGCTGATAAGTGTATAAAAACAAGCTTCACACACTGCCTCTGGCAGATTCTTGTGACTGGGCTTCATGTGTGTACTTCCTGTTTCACTGTGTGTACTTCCTGTGTAATATCTGTGTGACCTGTCCTGAAAATCTGACCTCACAAGTAAAAACGGTTAAAAATCTCCTGTTGTCGAGCGCAGCTCCTTTGAGATAAAGTGAGAATATTTTTCACCAACAGAATCCAAACCTTATTCCTCTCACGTATCAGTAGGATGTTGTCGTCAGAGTGATTGGGTGCGTTTCTTTAACCCACATTGACATGTTGTGTTTTTACCAGTTATCTTTCCAGTCAGAATGCCGGTCCTGTGCAGCAGCTGCTCTGACAAACGTGCCGTGCTGAAGCGTCCAAAAACCGGTCACTCTCTGTGTAAGCAGTGCTTCTTTTGGGCCTTTGAGGAGGAGGTGCATCAGACCGTTGTGGCAGCGGAGCTCTTCAAACCTGGGGAGGTTGTGGGGATCGCCGCCTCTGGAGGAAAGGACTCCACGGTGCTCGCGCATGTCATGAAGCTTCTCAACGAGCGGTACAACTACGGCCTCCAGCTCATGCTCATCTCGGTGGATGAGGGGATCACTGGTTACAGAGACGACTCCCTGGAGACGGTGAAGAGGAACCAGCAGCAGTATGAGCTGCCGCTGAAGATTGTGTCGTACGAGGAGCTGTACGGCTGGACTATGGACGCTATAGTGAAGCAGGTGGGGCTGAAAAATAACTGCACCTTCTGTGGAGTGTTCAGAAGACAGGCGCTGGACAGAGGAGCCATCATGCTGAAAGTGGATAAGATATGTACAGGTGAAGTTCTGAATCCATTACTGATGTTGGCCTGCACGCTGCGCTAGAATAACTCACGCTTCTTTTGTTTCACAGGTCACAATGCTGACGATGTGGCAGAGACGGTGTTGATGAATGTCCTGCGTGGAGACATAGCTCGTCTTCGCCGCTGCACCACCATCGCCACAGCCAGTGAGGGTGATGGGGTTGTACCGAGATGCAAACCCCTCAAATACGCCTATGAGAAAGAGATTGTTTTATATGCCTACTTTAAGAAGTTGGACTACTTTTCTACTGAGTGCATCTACTCTCCCAACGCTTATCGTGGCCATGCAAGGACCTTCCTCAAGGACCTGGAGAGTATACGACCCAGCTCCATCGTGGACATCATCCACTCTGGTGAGAACCTGTCTGTGCGTGAGGGGGTGAAGATGCCAGTCCAGGGCTCCTGCACTCGCTGTGGCTACATCTCCAGCCAGGCGCTGTGCAAGTCGTGTGTGCTGCTGGAGGGGCTGAATCGAGGTCTGCCGAAACTGGGGATAGGCAAGCACCACCGCCTGCACGACAAAATCCTCTCCCAGCAGCCTCTTACAGAAAACGAGAAGAGAAAGCTGAAATCTGTGGACTTGTGACATTTATTAACAATTTAATGTTTAGGTTATAGGATCAAAACTGAGATTAAATTGTTAGAGGTCAGATTTAAATTACCGTATTTTTCGGACTATAAGGCGCACTTAAAATCATTTAATTTTCTCAAAAATCGACAGAGCCAGTGCGCCTTATGTATTAATTCTGGTTGACCTTATTCTTACTGACCTCGAACTGGTTTTATGTGGTACACGGCGCTTGAAAATGGTCAAAATGAACTTGTTTCGCTTAATGCACCTTATAATCCGGTGCGCCTCAGAGTCTGAAAAATATGGTAAACCAGACAAAACTCAGCAGGGAAGCATCTTCAGAGTCAGGGTAATAAATCATTTACAACTACCAAACTAAACTATACCTTTTTGGTGGGTGACATGCACATTTGTTGTTTGATACTGTTAAAACTTTTACAGAAAGAAAGATATAGCGATGTGAAATCAGTTAGACGTTTTGTTTTTTACAGTTTAAGTGCATATAAATAATTTCAGCCAATATGTTTTAAAATGAAAACCTTTTAGCTGTGAGGTGGGGACAAATGATAAGGCTGTTGAACCTCACATTTTACATCGTAGCGGTTTTTGACATGTATAAATGACAAAGATGATTATAAAACTGTAATAAATCTTTTTATAGATCATTTATTGTTCTCAAGTGTTTAACATGTGATGCCAATCGATATCACTACACATGACTTGCACCATTCTTATCACTTAGCAGCTTAAATGGTTTTTTTTCCACACATTTTGTTCAAACCTTTAAAGTCGTGCAAGAGGTCATGCCCTGAGCATGTGTTGTGAATGTCTCCGCTACATCCACTTCAAACTTTGACTCAATCTTGGTAAAATTGACGTAGTAGCAGCCCATTGACTCCAACAAATAATGCTACAGTTTAAGTTAAAAGCTCATGCAACAAGCAGCTCTCTGAGTGTGCACCAAATTTTAGCTCAGTGTTTGTAAAACCGAGTTATAGCCATGTGTGTTTTGTGAAGCCGCTTAGCTGTGATGTTGATCTTGGATAGGGGTGGCTTCAAAAGTTAATAGTTTATGTGCGGCCACTGATAATCAAAATTTCATCAGGTCAATAAAAAATCATTACTGGTTCATGAGATGCTAACAGACAGCTCCACGAGCACACGCTCACACACCCACCCACGGGCACGATCAAAAACATCACTGCCCACCTCTGAAACTTTAGCAGTCTTTATTTCTACTTTTTAAGCTGCAGTTGCAAAGCTCCAGTCCCCCGGCAAAAACGGTAATATTGTGTATGTTGCTCAGTGTCAGGAGGGTGATCAGTTTTGCATCGGGGAAACTAAACAGCCACTGGCCAAAAGGATGGACCAGCACAGAAGATCAACATCATCAGGCCAGGACTCTGCGGTCTACACTCATCTCCAGGCCAGCGGTCACTCTTTCAGGGATGAAGATGTTCACATCCTGGACAGAGAGGAACGATGGATTGAGAGAGGAGTAAAGGAGGCCATCTTTGTGAAAAGCGCATTAAACAGGAGAGAGGGCCGCCATGTTCAACTGTCCCCCTCTTACAATGCTGTTATTGCTAGTATCACTCAACCATCTATGAATGGCAAACAGACATCAGGATGCTAATGATCCATTGTTATGCTGATGGTCCTCCTTTCATGTGAACAGATAGTTTTGGCTGTCAGCAGCAAACTGGTTGATCCACTAAACGAGAAGGTGCTGCTTATAAAACTGAGTTTATTTCAGCTCCTCAGACTGAAGAAGTCTTTTGGATAAAAGACTAAACGTTTCAACAACAAGAGTCCGTCCAGAAGACCTGATTTAACTTTATTACCTGACCTAACTTATTACCTAATTTATAGATTCAAATTCAGATACTCTTTTTTGTCGAACAAAATTATGTACACAGGATCAAGTCAAGTCACATTTATTTATATAGCACATTTAAAACAGTAACTTATCAAAGTGCTTACCAAAAAAGATCACAGCATCAAATATTAATAACAACATATTACAGCAATAAAAGCATAAAACATTAAATATTATGAGAAACAATGAAATACTAAATCAAATCACCATGTGCTAAATGTCAGGGAGTAAAAGCAAAATGGATGAACACAATCATCAACAACGAAATACCCTTATTAGAGAATCAGAGTTTCTTTATTGTCATTCGCACCTCATGTGGTACATGTGGTGGAGCAAAATTATGTACACAGGGTCCCAGTTACATCCAACAATAAAATGTAAAAGAAAAACAATGATAACATCTAAGATATGAACTAAGAAAAACATCAACTAAATATACACTAAGCACTCATAACATAAAACATTGAACATCAGCACAAACATGAACATGAGTCTGTGAGCAGATGTGCACGCATGAACACATCAACATTGAAACAGATCAGCAGCAACATGAAACAGATCAGCAGCAACACAAAACAGATCAGCAGCAACACAAAACAGATCAGCAGCAACATGAAGCAGATCAGCAGCAACATTGAAACAGATCAGCAGCAACATGGTGTGATTTTTCACAGTGATTATTCTGGTTAGAGATTCATGAGTCTAACAGCCTCAGGGTAGAAGCTGTTCCTCAGTCTAGTGGTTCTACACTTAATGCTCCTCAACCTCCTTCCTGAGGGGAGTGGGGCAAAAAGTATTATTACCCAATTACCTAACTTTATTAACTTTATTACCTGATTTAACTTTATTTACTTATTTGTAAATGAGTCCCGGAGGCTCAATGGGATTAACCTGTATAAATAAAGGTTGAAATAATTAGATTTTTCTACCTGGATTATTGAGCGTGCACCAGGACACTGCAGTTCCAGCATGTGGCCACAGGGTGTCGCTGTCCACCGAGCTTCAGTCAAAGCACGCGCCGCGTTAAACTCTCACACACACACAGCAAAGCGGCGCGTGCACGAGACGAGTCCTCACCAACTTCCCAAAGGAAGGAGCGGAGAAGTTGAGAAGTTTAGAAGAGGAAAGTTTTTGTCCAGCAGAAGACCGGCCTCAACGACTCAGCTGCCATGGATGATTTAGGTGAGTTGCGACGGTGTTGTAGACCGGGAGAAGAGGGGCCAGCAGCGGGGTGGAGGAGCGGATTTTACCGTAACGTCGAGGTTTTAGCGGTTCTGTTCCCCCGTGGGTCAAGCTAGTGTCGGACAGGAGGGTTACGTTTTGTTACATTTGATTTTAAAAGGAACGTAGCTGCTATCGACGAGCACCCCCATAAAAATACAAAATAAAACTTTCTCACGCGCTGCCCTGCTCGTGCTTGATAAATGCGCGCGTGAAGGAGGAGATCTTTAGCTGACATTTTGTCACCGAGCTCTACGTGAAGTCCTGCACTCCTGCCCCGGGAGACTGGTCCCTCAGCACAGGTTCAGTCCGGAAACCAGCACGGGTTTATTCTAACCCGAGTAATAAATTAACTCGCGTCCCGAAGAAAGTGAGAGTTTGTATAAAGTTGGCAGCTGCTCTCACGTGAAGCTCAAGTTTTGTTTTGCTGCTTTTTGTGGTTTTAAAGCAGTTACTGTATATTAGCATTTAGCATAGCACTTTATTATAAACATCAACTTTATGAAATAATACTAATAAATGATCAGAACTACCTATTATTAATAAATCACTGCCAGGTTCTTAGATTAAATTATAACCCCTTGATTGACCTTCTGCATCATTTGTTTGAGAACATCAATCTTAAAGTGAGATAAACCTTTAGCAAAGGCTGATTTTGATTTAAATCCTCTCTCTGTTCTTAAAGTCGGTGTACAGTTTAATATTAGCTTCCTGTGGAGGTGTTATTTACTTAGTCAGCCCCAAGTGATCCCCACAGAGAATCAACCTGAGATAACACATACATGGCTACGATTCAGTCCAGTACTGAGCTAAACTTTATTGTGGTAGTAGCTGAGAGTCATACCTAACACATTTTCTGATCGCACACGACATTGCACAAAGTGTTGTTTTTGAGATGTCACCAAAACGTCTATGATTCGTTTACGACACCGGTGGCGGGCGATATGCATTCCTTTCGTGGGGAGCCAGACCTTTCGTTTCATCAGCTGCTCTGTTCTAGTTCAGAAAAAGAAACGAGTCAATGGAGGCACTTTTCTTGATCCTTCAAGGGGGAAGCTGCAGTTAAGTGGGTTTGTGAATTGTTTAAGTGGAAACACGATGGGCCACATTTAACGTTTGGTCGCTGAGAGAATACCTTCAGGCCACATTAGATGCTCGGGCTGCTGCGGGCGATTGAATGGACCCATTGTTGGCTGAGAGGGAGCTCACAGCCTCTAAACTGCAGACTGATGAGTGGGGGGGCTGCTGAGGAATTTTGAACATCATTCTCTGTCGGGGTCCAAGGCCAAATACTCGCAGGGTCATGACTCACCTCCTGCCACTTCTCTCAGCTTTCTGTGCGTGACGCACGTTTGTTTCAGTCTTTCCTGATTAAACGTTCAAACTCGAAGCTGACGGTGAAGAAAAAACAATCAAGTTCAATATTAGTTAACAAGGACCTGTTCACTCTGACTAAACTCTCAGCTCATACGAACAGGCTGATCTGTTGAGACAGGACCTAGCTAAAACCCTGGACATATTCAGCTTTTTTTATTTCCATCGGACCTACTGTTTGTCATTAGGCTGCCCTCGCCGCTCACAGCTGGAGGAAGGAGTCCCCTCAGCAGTGTGAGAGCATTTGGACTTCTGAGTCACTCGCAGTGGATCAGTCTTACAGTCCAGATGGAAACCAGACGTTAAGCTTTTTTCATTCCTGATGTGGCCCAGAGGACGGGTCGTGGATTCAGGGTGCGAGCCACACGTGGCACGTTGTCCCGTCTGTTCTGCTGTTTCACGTTTGTATTAAGCGAAGCCACCGTTCAGCTCGCTCTGAATCCTTCAGGCTCGCGTGAGCTTCAGATGGACTGATCTCACATGCAGTTTCAGATCTGCAGGGTGACACCAAAGATATTCAGTTTTAGGGTTCCTCAGACTAAATGGAAGACTGGAACAAAAGGCCTAGCGTTCCACCTTTAAGGAATGCATATCGCCCGTCGCCTCTCATGCCAGAGATTTAAAGCAAGATGTTGAGAAACTGAGCCATTTTGATAAAACCATGTTGTGAAATATGTCGAGAATGACTTTCAGCTACTACCAAGCTAAATTTAGCTCAGTGTCTATAAAAACGACTGAGCTGCAGCCGTCTTGAATTGGGTTGACCCAAAAGTTGTAGATTTGCATCCAACAATTACATTCTGAGAGCTTCATTGAAGTCTAGTCTGTGGTTCTTGAGAAGTTTTGCTATCAGTCATCAAACAAAGTCACACACATGCAAACACACATGGGCGGAAATTAGGGATGCACGATATTATCGGCATGGTGTCGGTATCGGACGATATTAGCGTTAAAGTTAAATATCGGACATCGACCATTCAGTCAAAATAACTCACCGATATAAAAGATGCTGTTCTTGTATGAGAACCCAGTGACGAGGACGCCTGCAGCACCAGCACAACGTGATGACGTCACGTGCGCCTTTCCCTGATCTCACGGCAGAGACGAACATTCAAAATGTCGGCGGTGTGGAAGTTTTTTTGTTGTTGTTGGATTTGTCAGAGTCCGAAGATTTTTGGAGTACGCTGAGCCTCGCTACATCGTCCCCAGTCTGAGATATTTTTCTGACGTAACTTTACCCGAGTTACAATCCGTCATTTCCGACGTCATTGAGAAGCAAATAGCTGATAGCACTTGGGTGAGTTTTACCACAGACGTTTGGACGTCGTGTTTGCCCCGTTAGCATGATTAGTCTTACGGCACAATAGACAAAAACTTTGAACTTTAAAAGTCTGTCCTTCATGCACAGGAGTGCAGAGGATCCCACTCTGCAGCTAGGAACCTGGAACAAGCCTCCACAAGTGAGACAGCCTCACAGGTGGCTAATGCTAATAAATAACACTTTTTATTTAATATAAGTTAAAGTGCTATGCATATCATATGGCTGTTACTGAATATATGTCACCAGCTCTTACAGATGTTGCACAATTTTTCTAGCAATTAAGCCAAATAAGAGGAATATGTCCTGACAAAGGAAAATATATAAAAATATCAGTATTGGTTATCGGCCAACATATCGGCACATCGGCCAAAAATCCAATATTGTGCATCCCTAAAATAAACATTATCCTCCTTCATCTTCAGTGGTGGATCAAGAATATTAAGTTCACAGAACCTGGAAGTTTGTTGGCACATTTGTTAAAGCACTTTAAAATCATAACCTAATCTTAAAGTCTGAAAAACTTCATCTTTATGCTGACCGTGTTTATCTGCACCATTATGTCAAATTTAATAATAATACACACATGTAGTGACGTGTTACCAGACAGCTCAGTTCAACCCTTATTTTTTCCACATGCGGACACCTGGAGAGAGCAAACAGATGATCTGAAGTTGCTGTTCATGCATGCTCCTCACAGCAGGGGATCTTTCCTCTGGTGATCAACTTTCACAAGTGAGGGGGTGCAGGGGAGTGTCCGTGCAGAGCTCAGTTGGGAGGGCAGGATGCAAAACTTATGGTGTCAGACCGTCTGCAGAGGAAGAGCAGGGAAGGAGGCTCGATGACTGTTTTTGTGTTAATATCAAAACCGCTTGTATTTTAATGTGTCCCACATTGAGTGATAAACAACATACAGAGAAAAGAAAGAGCTGAAGTTACCAGCACCGACATGGACACGTCCTCCCACTGACAGTACTCTACGTTCCCACGTTGTCTCGCCTGCTGATCTTCTGGACATTTTACAGGAAATCTGAATGATAAAAGCCTTTAATAAGTCTAGACCAAAATTCTGCTAACAATTGCTGCCCCCCCCCCCCACCACCACCACCTTCCTAAATATGTTCAGATCTGCAGTGTTTGTGTGAAAGCGTCTCAGTTTTTCAACGCTTCATCAGCTCTCGCTCGACACCACTGGAAGGACTTTACCACAGTTACACCCCGTGTCCTGACAGAAAGATGAGCTCCATCTAGAAACGGTGTCGTGTTTCTTGAGACTTCAATGGTTCTACTAGAAGTAACGTCTCTAATATTTATTATTGTAAAATTTATCGAGCTAGGCGCTAACGCTACCATGCACGATTGAACATCTGTCCAGGTGGAAACCTGGACAAACAGTCAGTCTGGAGATATTTATAAATTTGATGCAAATTTACAAATATTTAATTTATGTATTTATTTTCTGATTACTCATACAACAGAGAAAATGTGTTGTTTATTGTTTACAACCATGAGAGTTGCAAGGTCACCTTTTGTGTCTATTGAGGCAGAAGCAGCAAGCAATGGAGTATATACAAACGTTGTAGTGCGATCAGTTGATCACCTGGCCCATGAAGTAATTTCTCCTCAAACGTTGATAACATTGTGGTCCTGCATGTTTACAGTATTTACACAGCATGCCAGAAATCGTTGAAGGTCTTCAGTGGTTTTCTGTGTCTCAGTGGGTCAGCAGTGCAGAGTTAGTGTTACCAAACTAGCTATCATCACCCAATGAAAGCTGCAGGGTTAGTGCATACCACCCTTAACCAGCGGGCCTGCCTGTGGAAGAAGCCCCTGACTGTAAATCTGCCTTGTTCCACACCCATCCTGTTTTGGGTCTAGAGAAGAGAGAGCTGCGTGGCTGACCTCATCGCTTAGGCAACCGAGCCTGTTCCACATCCTGAGGAAACAGTGCCGGGAAACAATGAGCAGAGTCAGTCCTGGAGACCAGCAAACACTGTTAAAGGGGGCAGCTGTGGGCCTTCAATCTGTGAACTCGGTGCTAGAACAGCATTTCCACTGTTGAAGGCTGTTGATTCACTTGGAGCTCCCGCTAGTCTCACCCTGACTCTGTCATGCTGTTTCCAAGCCTTTTCGCTCACATGGCTTTGCCTCTTGGCTCTGAACATGGCTGAGTATTTACTGAACACGTTTGGGTAATGGAATCAGAAGAAACATTGGTCCTTGGTGGATTCTTGCAGCACAACAGAAATAAGGCACACCCAGAGGAAAT